CTAAGACCTGATAAAGAGAATTATGTGAATTAGGAAAAATCTTCTCAGACCTTGCCAATTTTTAAGACTGGAGTAAACCATACACTCAGTAGGCTAATTAACTCTTGATTGATAGTCACTGAAGGGCCATTGCAAATGTCATGTATTTTCTACCAGTGCTTAGGGGGCCTCAAAAAGCAAGACAAAACAAAACACAAAACATTTCCCTGGGGGCTCCTCCTGATGACATTTTATAAAGCTTGCAAATCTGAAATTTGATGATTAGTAAAGAACCACTGTTACTTAATAGAACCATCTGGAAAAAAACTGAAATGCTAGAAATTACTGTGTCTAAATGCTGAACTTTTCTTTTTATTTATTTATTTATTTATTTATTCATTCATTCATTCATTCATTTTTTATTTTTACATAAGGGCTTTTGTAGTCCAGGCTGTCTTCAAATTGACTATGTAGTTGAGGCTGGCCTGGAACTCCTGATCCCATTGCATCCAACCTACCAAGTGCTAGAAATATCTGCAAGTGCCACCATACCCCAAAAGGACAAATTTAAAATTTTATTTTTGGAATGTGCTAAATATTGGTGCTGGCAAACTTTCTATGTAAGTTCCCCACAGTTATGGGAAGGCAGGACTAGGCTTGGATCTGGAGAAGGCTGAGGTAAATGTGTGATGGGAGATTATTGCTCACCAGTTCCTGACCCTGAAGGAAAGAGGAACCCATCCTGGTTCAACGCAGTTAAGCCTTGCCTCGAATTTTCCAGTAAAAACTCACAGGAATGCAATGTCTCTTCCACTGAAATATTAGCTTCACCAACTAAGGATTCTTGAACTTCTTGTTCACTCATATGGAATTAGCAAGGGACAGCTATTAGCTGCTTCAACAACCTAGCCCTGGTGTTAAATCTATATGTAAAAAGACAATACAGCTGAGACATCTTAGACAAAATTAATGAATTGATGACAAAGCTACTGGGACATGGAGGTTATGACTTCATTGTAAGCCAGGTCCATACAACTCCTCAAACAGAGTGTGTGTGAGGATCATCAAAACAATAAATTCAAGGAACAATAAGATAGAGAACATAACCAGGCCATTTATAATTCATTCCACAAAAGCAAACCACACATCACAGTTACATTATTCAAGATAATTTGGATATATAACTTTTTTGGTGTCAGTCTTACAACTTGTAAATTTATATTTTATTTAGCATTATCATGTGTATGAATTGAGTCTGTTTGGAGAACCTCTGAAAGCCAGAAGGCTGCCTATGGAAGTCAGTTCTCTTCTACTGTGGTAGCTCTGGGCATTGAATTGATGCCATCAGGCTTGAGCTACAGATGTTTTTACCTGCAGAGCTATCTCAACTGCCCTGCTTTGTGTTTTGTTTTGTTGTTGTTTTGCAAAGATGATACAATTATATCACTTTTCCCTTCCCTCCCTTCAAAGCCCTCCCATATAGTTCCTCTTGCTGTCTTTCAAATTCATGGGTTTTTTATTTAATTGTTCACATATATAAACGTATGGACAAGTGTATATGTATAAATACATATTGTCTTAGTCACTGTTCTATTGCTTTGAAGAGACACCATGACCACAGCAACTCTTGCAAAGGAAAGCATTTACTTGGGGCTTGCTTACAGTTTCAGAAGTTTAGTCCATTGTCATCATGCCAAGAATCATGGCAGCATGCAAGCAGACATGGTGCTGGAAAAGTATCTGAGAGTTCTACATCAGGATATGCAGGGAGCAGGAAGAGAGAGCCACCAGGCTTGGTTTGGGCCCTTGAAACCTCAAAACTCAACAGCAATGATGCGCTTCCCCAAGAAGATCACACCTCCTCTAACAAGGTCATACTCCCTAATCAATTCAAACAGTGCCACTCCCTAAGCATTCAAATATATGAGACAGTGTACAGAGTCCATTCTTATTCAAGTACATAGATACACACAGGCACACATTTCTCACTATGCAATACATGCTAGGATAAACCCTA